GAATTGAGCGAAGACAGCTGGTAATGAAAATCTGCAGTTTCTTTCGATGTGCGCTTCGTGACGTGGTGCCACGTCTCTGATCTGTATAGTAGCACTGACTTCACATTGGAGTTGAAAATCCGGATCTTGTCTTTCATGCTGAGTAGTGCTGTCGACCTGCACACAGACTTAAGAGAAATGAAGGCTTTCCTTGCTTTCCCAATCCTCGCTTTGATATCCTCACAAACACACACACTTTTCCGTGTAAAATTGCACGCCACTGAGGCCTAAAATTAGATCTCCACATGTTTGCTTTCCCTAAGCTGATTTCTGGGTGAAATATATTGGCTTCAGGGGCTCTTTCTGAAGTTTCAGTGTCGATGGTGCTTTTTCTACGGTGTGACAAAGTTAGTCATATGCCCAACGTCTTCTCTTTTCTGGACATAATATTAGCTGATAAACTCAGAGTTGATAAGCAAGCAAACGCAAGTCTCTCATGTTTACCTGTTTAGCACCCATCCACTACATCACCACAGCTGACTGTATAGCCATTTAGAGGGTCTCATGAGGTAACTGGAATTTAGGCCTTCGACAGCGTTGACCACGAAGTAATTTGTAAACAACTTCAAGATGACAATGTCAAAGCCAGAATCGGAAAAGCAAAACCAACACCTTCATTAACTTATAATCAATGCGTAAATCTCCTAAGCACTCAGCATAATCAAAAAGATTCGGATTTTCAACATCACTGTTGAGTCAGCCACTTCTATAGGGATCAGAAACTTCTACTGCGTGTCACGAAAAGGATTTCCTAAAAGTGACTGACTTTTATTAAAAACTGTTATCTTCGCTAGCTCCATACTGAAGAGAGAGTGGCCAACCGGCAAGAAAGATTTAGCCACAAGAAACTATGTGAACAAACTAATCAAAAACCTATACCTCAACAAATATTCAGGAGACACTCGGATGACGTCGCATGCCAGGTAGTTGCTTGAGTGGAAGGTGAATGGGGAACGACGAGTTGGCCGTGGGTCCAAAGGTAACATGGGACAGATCTTGCGAGGCGGGGATAAGAGATTATGAGCAATCGTGTACGTGGCTGAACAGGACAACAGATAATAGAACAAAGTGGAGACGTGTTGTTGAATCCCTTGTCCCACTTGGAACATAAGAGAACAATGATAATGATAATAATAAAATACTTTTATTGCTATTGTCTCTAAGATTAATCCTGACTCCTATTCCAGTGGCTAGCTTAAGCGCAGACAGCAAGAAATATGTCCTGAGGACATTATGGATAAGATTTTTTTTGATAAATCACACAGTGTTGTTCAGTAATATTAACTGATGACCACGTTTCGAGCACAAACTATTGCTCATAATCATATGATATGAGGACATCACATACAAATTAATGTTAGTAAGAAGTTTGTGCGTTGTGGAACGGAACAAATTATTTATAGATACATTTCAATACACTACACATAGTGACAAGTTTTTCGTTTTGATAGTATTTCGAACAAAAATGATGTCACATCCCACTGTATTTACCAATTTGAATGTACGTGTGGACACATATACATACATATGGAGAACTCATCGACCTCTGCAAGTAAGGGTTGGCTTCAGAGCTAATTCTTAATGGCTCCAGAAACAAATGGAATCTTCAGAACCCATTAATGGTGACAACAGGAGACCTAGCTCTTCTACTGCGAAACATATTATGGAGATATAGCATAAAATTGACGTTAACAGATCTTTTAAACCTATCTATGAAACGTGTTTGGGGCGTGTCTTAAAGTTTGTGGAAGCCCTAGAGGTTAGAAAGTTTAAACCACCTTTATGCGTTCAAAACAATTCGTCATCACACCTTCCTTGGTAAATTTTGTTTTGATACCATAGCAGATGTACTATTACTTCTGCTGTTTGATTTAGTGATCTTCATTGTTATTTTGACCTTCAACATGTCCTTTTCACTTGACCTAAGTCCATTTTCTCACCTCTTAACTCTTTATTAATTTCATATATATTCCTATGACAAGTCCGTGTGTGTGTGATCAGATTGTTCGAAATGTGTTTCGCAAATACATTATACGATTCAGACAAATTACGTCTTCTTATTGCTTTATCTAAATTCATAAAGGGAACTAATTGTTTTAAAATTACTTCTTCTGATCACATCAACTGTTTTTTAAATTACTGCACGCTTGTGTTCCAGTGGGGATGACATTTAGTTAGACGTTTACGTCCGTTCGACCTTATTTTCAGTGATTATTTAGATATTTGACGCAAATATTTAGTAGGATATTCAGGAATAAGATATTTTGTAGACTGTAGTTTTTACCAGTTGATCACGCACGGATTGATATCAGTTAGAGAAGCACTGAAAACCAGCTGGGAGTACTGGACAGCCAGCTGTTTCACCCTAGTTTGGGAGTCATCGCTAGTACGCACCCATCACTGGAGGTGCGAACCCAGAACTTTCTGGTTACAAGGCTAACTAGCTCGTATACCATTCAGCCACTGGGACCCGATTCAATGGCCAACGATTGAATTCTAACTTCTACCAATTCGTGATTTTAGCGCGACCCCAACTATTGTCGTTGGTGGGACATCCGTCCACACACGTGACTTCTAATTGGACCTCACTGGTCACGACTTCTCAGGAAGCTCCAGCCTGAAGCAAGTCACTGGCGAGCATCAGAATAATTTTCTAAAGTTTGGTTTGTAAGGATTAGTTATGTGAAACTAATCCTTACAAACCAAACTTTAGAAAGTTGTAAATCACGTGGTACTCAGCGGCACAAAGTTAAAAAATTGGTAAGGTTAAAATTGCTATTGATTGAGAATAAGGGTAGTTGCATGTCAATTTAACAAATAGGAAGAGGGTGTAAAACTCTACAAAAGGAACATACGAGACTGATAATAGTGAATTAATTATTAAAGTAAAAGCAAACTAAAAGTAAAATTGAAAAAAATAAATGTTTTTTACAGGAAAAGACTAGTGAAGAGGTTAAGACCAAGGTAGAATAAGAGACTGGACAAACGTTTTCTGTACATAGCCAGCACCTCCACTATACACAAAAGCCGACCCCCATCTTGTAGATGATCTTGAAAGACGACTCTATTGAAGCTATGTGGCTTGAGTTCATCAAGTGCTCGCCCATTGAGCTAGTAACTCTCTTGCATTGTCTTTTTGCTAACCATGCCGGATAATGTTCAGAGATGCGTTTGGAAAGCGTGCGCTTTGTGCGGCCGATAAAACTAACTCCACACGAGCGACTTTTATTTTTTACTTCTAAAATCCCTTCTGAGTAATTATATCGCAATTATATCACCCCCTACTAGTCAATAATGGCCTACTATACACTTTGGGTAAATATAAATACGACTGTACAGCCAGCCTCTGAAGATGATTTCGTCGATAAAGAAAATTTTCTTTGCTGAATACCTCTTTTTTCTCTTTTTTATATTATCTCTGACAAATTCTTTTGGGTAGTTGTTGTCGAGTAATATTTTGAGCAAGACGTTTATTTCTTTTCGCTGGTCGTTTGATGTTGTTGTAAGTGTAAGTATTCTATCTGCAAAGCCTTGTCGTCTTACCACTCATTTCACCGTGAATGGATGAGCTGAGTGATAATCAAGGAATCATATACAAAAACCTACTAGGCTTTAAAAGTTTTTTTTAATATAAAACTAAACAAAACATTCTATGCTCACATTTCAGTTTATTATCATTGTTTCCTTTAGTTCCTAGAGGAACACAGGGCTGCAGCCTCACGTCTCCGTTGCGTTCGGTTCTCTGACAACGTTTTCACCTGACTCCACGTCTGCCCATATGCTTTCATCATATCCTCTTCACATGACCTCCTCCTTCATGTCACCCTCGCACTGATGACCAACTAACTGGCAGCTTTCCATTCGCATTACACTCGAGCAATGACCTTGCGCGTGATGGATGTCACTTGACGGTTTTCTCAGAGTACATTTCAGTTTAGCCGATTATTATTTTTCTATGGACATTATTGAGAGTATCTGAGGTATATATTATACTTGTGTGTGCGAAGCTCTATCTTGGAACACCTGATCGACTTCTGTCACTCTGTCAACGCTGACCATGATTTTAAGATAATACATAGAATCCATGCTAACTTTCCACGTTTTCTTCGTTACAGACTTCTAAAGACAGCTGAGACCTTGGCAATTCATGACTTTAAGCCAGCCACACCTTTGTGTACAAAGGAGTATGTACAATCCCTACTTCCGCCTTGGCCGTAAAGGGATAGACATTCATTTATTTTATTTTGTTTATTTAGTTATTCTATGTACTCTTCCCTTATTACTACGATTATTATTAATATTATTATCATTATTATTATTACTATTCTCCATCTGAATCTTTTCCACTTGACCCACTTGACATTTTAAACCCAAAATTATTAATTTCTATATTTTTATTTTTACAATATTGAATTCTATCTTATCAAATTTCACACCATGTTATGTAACATTTTATTTCGTCTACTGATCTTATAATTGTGCGTCGGTGGCATAGCGGTTGGGACGCTCGCCAACCATGTACATAGTCTGGAGTTCGATCCCCGACCGACGCACTCCTTTACCTCGCTAAGCCAGAAATAATGCTGGTGGAGAGGAAAGGTTGGGCATGAGGCTAGCAACCCCATCCTGTAAAATAAACACCGCTACAGAAACTTCAAGCTTCTAGCTTGGAGCCCTATGTTCCACTGGGGAACGTGAAGAAAAAAAATCTTATAATTATGTACCCTTTTCCAAAATCTATACACCTTATGTATTATTCTATATACGGCATTAATTAGTTTGCCACTTGACATTAAACTATGGTTATAATCACAAATATTTTAATTGCATTTCATACTACTATTATTATTTCATGTATTCACACTTTTGACCTAGTTCCCTCACCGGACATAATTTCTTTAAAAAAAACCATATATATATATATAATACTTGTTTGTTTTTCCATTTATTTCCATTATTAGAAACGACTGATTGAACGTTTCGGAAGTGAAGCCTTGCCATTTCACTTCACATTACCTCATGATATTCCAGCTTCGATAACCCTGCAATCGGAGAATACAAACGCGGTTGAAGATAGTCCATGTGGAATTGAATATGTTCTACAGGTAACTGAGTGAGGTGATATTTCGTCTAAATTAGTTTACATTGTGAAATATATTTAAAATCAAATTATTCAAGAAGTATTTTATTATTTATAAAATTATATTTGTAAAATCTCAGCGAAATTGAAATGAGTAATTCCAACGTTTCGTTCGGCAATCTGGTTCGAACGTCTTCAGGGAAATTAATCGAAATTAACATATCAGAAGTTTATATATAATAGGAACAACTCTTGTTTTTGAAACTTTGTCCAATCATGAGTCATGCAACAGCCATCAACATGTACAATAAATAAAATAGCATGTTTATATGTAAAAGTACATCTCTTGTATAAATGGTGTGTCCTGTCATATGAATCGAGAAACAGCTATCAATAGGTATAGTAAACAAAACAAAACAAAAATTTTTTATGAACTGTGATCAAAATTTGACCTCAGACTTTCAAAATTAGTCTACTTTTGAATAAGGCATTAAGAAGACAAATTTCGCGAGATGATATCATTTCGTGCATCAAACACCTTACGCTCATTACTGGTTTAGGTTAAGGATAAAGTAGAACAAGAAAACCAGCAGAATTGTGTATACCAGATCAATTGTGGGGATTGTAACACCGTATATGTAGGAGAAACTTCCAGACAGGTAAATATAAGGGTGAAAGAGCATAAACAATGTCTAAAGGTGGTTCCAAAGACCTCTGCAGACTTGAAGAAGCTAGAAAACCACTCAGCGATTGCACTGCATTCGATATAAACGGGACACAAAATCGACTTTGATAAGAATAAGGTTTTACAGAAAGGTTTTGGTTCATATAAAGAAAGACTGACTGCAGAAGCCCTACATATATGGGTGAATCCCAAGAGTTTGAACAGACGTGAAGGTGTGATCTTAGCTGATGCATGGCAAATCCTGACTAATAAATAAATAAATTGGATATGTATCAACAACTAGTCACACTTGATCAAATTCCCGATTGTCTACGTCTTCTTAAGGAGAGAATATCAAATTTATAAAATTATATTATATTTGTAAAAAATCTCAATTATTTTGTAACTATCCTGTCAAATCTTGATCACAGCTCATATGAGAATAACAAATATTTTATGACTGTTCACCCACACACACACATACAAACACCACTGATACTGCATATACACATATATTTTAAACAAAAGGAGACTATTTAATAGAATCTTGGATTTTCCAGTCGATTGATTGGACCGAAGTGTTCGGTCTCAGGTTGACATGTCGGTGGGAAAATCCACAATTCAATTAAATCAATATGACCCGTTGCACAAGAAGTGGCTCTCGTGGCCCAAGTGGTCTAGTGGATAACGCTTTGGCGTTTGAAACCATGGGTACTGGGTTCGAGCCTCAGTGGGAACATCATCACTCACTGAGAAATGCAGGTACATCTAGTGGCTGACGAGTCCCAAATAGGACGAAATGCGCATCCTGGATTCCACTGCTAGTCACCATCCACCAATTAAATACTAAAAGGAGACTATTTTTGAAAGTCTGAGGTCAAATTTTGATCACAGTTCATAAAAATTTTTTGTTCTGTTTTGTTTATTATACCTATTGATAGATGTTTCTTGATTCATATGACAGGACAAACAATTTAAAACAAGAGATGTACTTTTATGTATAAACATACAATTTTATTTATTAATTATACATGTTGATGGCTGTTGCATTACTCATGATTGGACAAAGTTTAAAAACAAGAGTTGTTCCTTTTATATATAAACCTCTGTTATGTTAATTACGATTAATTTCCCTGAAAAAGTTCGAACCAGATTGCCGAACGAAACGTTGGAATTAATCATTTCAATTTCGCTCAGATTTTACAAATATAATTTTATAAATGTCTACTTCTCACTCAGCGCTCAATTATTTTGCAACTATCCAGTCAAATCTTGATCTGAAAAATTAAAGACATATTTTTTTCAGGATTCTGTGGAAACGATGAAACAGTTTTAGATGGTTTCAGGCTTTTTGTTATTTGTAAAGTAGTATTCTTGCAAAGTTTTTGTATGACACTAGATACATAATCCTGAAACGTTTGTCTTTCATCATCGGATAGTTCATATAAAGCATGGGTTCTTTGTGATGTATTTCGCTCAAGTCAATGTAATTCAGTGTGTGACGCTTTAGTGTCGTTGAATTAGGGTAAATGTGATTACAGCGGAGATTCTTCCAGTAATGTTTTGGATACTCATGCTTGTCGATGCATCGTTTCAGAGAAATTAAGCTCCGTGTTAACTTCAGCAAGCTTGACAGAAAAATGCAGGAATTTGTCCAATTCCTTCACTGTCACAGGGTCCTTGAAGTTCTTCAATGAACGAAATATTTCTATATTGAGTCATAAGAAAAAGGTGTAAAGAGCGAGGAAAATTTTCTTTTCGACGATTTCATCAGGCTTTAGGAACCATATCTCTATTTCGTCCTATTCTCTTTGGTCCTAATTAGCTGGCCCGATAACTCCTCCCCTGTCATCCTTGGACCGACACCCAACTCATCATTTCCCATTCGGTTTCCACTCAAACTATGGCCTGGTCTCACGCGATGTCACCCAGCGGTTTCCTCAGTGTGTGACCGATTTATTTTCATTTTCTTCGGAAAATATTTTGAGCAATAGCTTCTTGACTGGTTCGTCTTCCATGGACTCTGATTGCTCATTCTTCCGGGTGGGCTGTTTGATCGTAGGTATGGGGTCAAAGAAGGAAATTATCGATAAAAGTCTGCAGGTGGCTGTTGGAAATGCTTTTCGTGACCTGCCATTACTTCCCTCTTCTCTATGTCCACTTTAGATCCTATCTTTGATGCTTTTTCAGTCAATTTTTGGTTTTTTTCAAGTAAGTCATCGAGTTTGTGTAAGTCATAAGTATATTTACAAACACTACAGTCTGGTTTCAATTCCTCTGAAATCATCCATTCAGAAGTAGTGATTGGGTTCAGGAACTTTAAGTATGAAAGCCTTCTGAAATAGGCAGACCGCGTCAGTGAGTTCTGCCGTTAACCAAAGTGAACATCTTTTCACAACAATTATATCCATAAACAATGGGTTTAAATACAATATACAGCATTCCCAGAATATGCCAGAGGAAGTGGAACCTAGATGTGAAATAACACTTTGGACTAGACTCCTAGAGTAACCATGGAGATGATTATTGTGGAGAGGAGAAGAAAGCCTATAGGCAGTTGTGTAGACAGGTAAAGAAAACTACCGAAAGCAGACTGAAATCAAGGTGTGTTATTGAAGCCCAACGTTCCACTCGGATGCTAAGAGAATAATAATAATAAATCCTTACGAATTGATCACGGATTGATATCAGTTAGAGAAGCATTGAAAACCAGCTGGGATTACTGGACAACCAGCTGTTCCATCCTAGTTTGCAAATCATCACCAGTGCTCACCCACCACAGGAGCTTCGAATCCAGGACATTGCAGTTACAAGGCAAACTAGCCCGTATACCATTCAGCCACTGGGACCCGATTCAATGGCCAACGCATGAATTCTAACTTCTACCAATTCGTGATTTAGCGCTACTGGCACCAGCCAATGTCGTCGGTGGAACATCCATCCTCACATGTGACATCTGGATGAACCTTTTGGTGAGAAGTCGTGACCAGTGAGGTCCATCCAGATGTCACGTGTGAGGATGAATGTCCCACCGACGACATTGGCTGGTGCCAGTAGCGCTAAATCACGAATTGGTAGAAGTTAGAATTCATGCGTTGGCCATTGAATCGGGTCCCAGTGGTTGAAGGGTTTACGAGCTAGTTTGCCTTGTAACTGCAATGTCCTGGATTCGAAGCTCCTGTGGTGGGTGAGCACTGGCGATGATTCCCAAACTAGGATGGAACAGCTGGTTGTCCAGTACTCCCAGCTGGTTTTCAATGCTTCTCTAACTGATATCAATCCGTGATCAATTCGTATAAACATAACTAATCCTGACAAAACCACACTATAGAAAAGAATAAATTCGATAAAGTGCAGAAAGCCATGAAGTAATTATTTACCTATGCAACAAGTTTTGTCGCTATTTACAATAACATGCTAATATATGTGTAAAACTTGGGTACTGTGATAGTAAGTAATAAAATATATAATAATAATATTAGTGATAGTGATGATAATAATAATATTAATGACGACATGCAAGTCAAATATGCACAAGACAACACCAACAATAAGGAATCTAAATCACCAATAGTAATTCTATACAAGGAAGGAAGCTCGGAAACCTTAAGCAGAATTCTGAACAATGCTGGCAGGAATAAAAGCGGCTGGTATTCAATCACCCACAAACTCAATTAGAAACAAGCTATGTCGGTTAAAGGATTAATCTTGTGGAGCCTATAAAACAAAACAATTTAGTTTATCTAATACTCGGTCTCCAATGATTGTCAAGTCAAATACATAGGTCAAACTAGTAGAACAGGGGTAGTCAGACTAGCTGAACATAAAAACTTTGCAAAATCTAGATTGCTTGACCCGAATAAGATAAGAAATCTAGAGAATAGTTCAGCTATATCACTCACTATATGGAATTACACACAACCATATAAAGGATGGGATAGGATGACAGTTTTAAAATCTAATGTCACAGGGTCGAGAGATTGATAACGGAAGCTTTGTTTATCGAATCAACTGCGAACACGTGTCATAGGAATGATTCAACACCTGTCCAGTCGGATATTTGGAAAATTCTACTACTACCCCAACGACGACAAATAGGAGTGGACAGAAAAACTATAAAACTTAAGTTTCGCAGTCGTGTGATTATAATTGATACTATGATTATGAACAACACATAAATTGTGTTCGAAACTTTGTCATCCAGTAAATAATACTGTTTCTCTGACTGTGACACATCTAATAAACATACTAAAATGGAATTACAATAACATGCCTTGTGTTTCTTAATTACTTCACTTAAGATTTTCTATTTTCTGTTTAATTCCTGGAATAAACAAACAAAAACCAACAACAGATTTTTGCCGGAGAAACAGCACAATCCACGTCTAGCAAACGAAATACAATCAGTTTGGCGATACGTCGGTTAACATTGGCTATACCAAAATTAGACGCGGATGTTTACACGAAACAAGTGGTTAAACCATTCCACTTTCATTCTGGTCAATTACAAATTACAGCTACTTTACCGAAGGAAATATTTTTTCATGGAGAATCAATAGAAATTCACTTGACTATAGATAATGCTTCAAGTAATGTTGTACGCCGATTAAAGTTACAAGTAAGTTTATTATTATTGGTTATTATTTCCTTTAATTCCTAGAGGAACATAGGGCTTCAGCCGCACGTCTCCATTGCGTTCGGTTCTCTGCTAGAGTTTTCACCTGGCTCTACGTCTGCCTGCATACTTACATCTCCTCTTCACATGACCTCTTCCAAGTCACCCTTGCAATGACGACCAACTCGCCGCTTCCCTTTCGGGTTCCACTCGAGCAATGGCTTGTCTAGTGGTGTCACTTGATGGTATGATTTCTCAGAGCATGGCCAATCTACCTCCATTTCTTCCTGCCTATTTCCTTCACAACCGGTTCCTACTGAGTGGGTTCTTTCCCAGAGATCTCTGTTGCTGATCTTTTCTGGGTAGTATTGAGCGAAGACAACTGTTAATGAAGGTCTGTAGTTTGTTTGAGATGCTCCTTATGACGGTCAGTGCAAGTCTCTGATTCGTATAGTGAGTAGCACTGACTTCACATTGGAGTTGAAGATCTGGATCTTAATTTTGATGCTGAGTGCTGTTGACCTCCACACAGACTTGAGAGTAGTGAAAGCTTGTCTTGATTTCCCGGTCCTTGCTTTGATATCCTCATCAGTTCCGTCCACCTGTAGTTGAAACGATGCTTCTCCCATTTATGCTGAATTTTGTCTGTTGTTGTTGCTGTTGGTGGTGTTGCCCAGGAATCTTCATCACCTCTGATTCCTCTGTGTTCACCTGAAGTCCTATCTTTGATGCTTCTTCTGCCAACTTGTTGCTTTTCACTTGCATACCTTCCAGTTTGTGGGAAATCAGGTATACATCATCGGCGAAGTCCAGATCCTTCAAGTATTTTGTGCGGGTCCATTTTATACCTGTTCCTTATTGCCCGCTGTCTGTCGCATTATCCAGTCTACTGCAATCAGGGAAATCATTGACGACAGCAGGCAACCTTGTCTTACTCCTGTCCTCACTTCGAAGGGTTCCGTAAGTTTCCCGTTGTGGATTACTTGGCATGCAGCATTGTCGTACAACTGTTGGATGAGATGTATAATTGTCGGCTCCACCCCGTAGTAGCGAAGTAGTTTCCAAATCACCTCTTGATCGACGCCATCAAAGGCCTTTTCAAAGTCGATGAAGTTGAGATAGAGAGGTGACTGCCATTCCAGGCTTTGTTCAATGATGATCCGTAATGTGGCGATCTGATCAATGCATGACTCGTTTCTCCTGAATCCAGCCTGTTCCGGTCGAAGTTTTTCATCCAGCTCGATGTGTTTGATTCTCCCCAGGATGATGCAGCTTAGTATTTTGCTTGGGATGGACAGGAGCATAATTCCACGCCAGTTCTTGCATTGACTTAGGTCTCCTTTTTTCGTCAGTTTGAATAAATATCCTTTCTTCCAATCCTCGGGTACCTTGCCCTCTATCCACAAGTAAGTTTGCCAACAATCTATGAGTGAGTGTGGAATATATATTCTCATTTCATATTGATTGATTGATATTTTGATTTTGGAGTTCGATGAAATTTTCACAGGAAAACTTAATCTGATTTTTTCAGCTTATTTTATTATTGTTATTATTCAAGCGTTGTTTTTTAGGGATCTGATTGGATTTTTAGGATTTCATCATGAACTGACATCAGTTAGAGGACCATTGGAAAACCTGTAGGGAGTACTGCAAGACATCTGTTTCGTCAGCCTAGTTTGAGCGTCTTCATCAGTACGCACCCACCTTTAGGGTTTGAACCCAGGACCTTCTGATTACAAGGTGAGCTCATAGATCATTAAGCCACTGGGACACTAGCTAATCGTCCATGAATATCCACTTCTGCTAATTCATGATATGGCGCAACCACTACCGAATTTCATCCTTGGGGAGTATTTGTCCTCATATCTAATCTGCTTTCACCCACAGGTAGGTAGTTACCTGGGTTCTACTGGGAAGTTGTGACTAGTGTGGTAAAACAGGTCTGGTGTGATGACAAATACTCGCCACGGATGACATTCGCTAGTGGTCGCGCTGTGTTATGAATTGACAGAAGTTAGAATTCATGGACTATTAGACCGTGTCCCAGTGGCTGAGTGATCTACGAGCTCGCCTTTTAACAGGAAGGTCTTTGGTTTAAACTCTGAAGGTGGATGCGTACAGCTAAAGAGTCTCAAACCAGGACGAAACAGCTGTCCAGTACTCTTAGGTTCCCCACTTGTTTCTCTAACTGAGATCAACTCGTTATCAATCCTGTAACAAATCAAATCCCTGCAGACCGATACTTGATTGTATTCAATTTTTATTCCTTCGTGAACCCAACGAAACACAAAGCTTGAAGTTTGAGGTATTTTGAACTTTTAATGGCAGTGGTGTTATTTTTTAAGGGGTTTGGTTTACCGGCCTCACAGCAAACCCTTCATCTTTCCCTGTCCTACTGCCGGCTAGGCGAGGTTAAAGACTGCTTTGGTAGGGGGTCAAACCCCAGGCCACTTACATGGTTGCTGAGCTTTCTGTAGTTGAACCCCCGATGCTTTGATTTCACTTATAGTAATATTTTCCAAATCATATCATCTGTCGGAAATTAGTCAGTGATCCTCTTCAAACGGTCTTAAGCTGAATCCGTCTAAATGTCAGGTAGTAAATTTCACTTTCAGACGAAAACGTGACCTACAACAACTAGCTAGCTCACATGGTCCCACTATCATTGACGGCACAGAGGTTGAAATTACATCTAATGTCAAGTACCTTGGACTTAGTATTTCCTCTGATCTTTCCTGGTCCTCTCACATCTTGCTAGTTACTAGAAAGATGTTTCGCTTAACGTTCTACGTTAGGAAGTTAAGGCAGTCTGGTATAAAGCAGTCTTTGCATTTTCAGTTTGTCAGCTCTTGTATTCTAACCATCCCTCTTTACTGCTCCCCATTAATCTTTCCTGGACTACTCAAGAAAGACTTTGCTTCGCTGCGTAGGGCACTAAAAGCTGTTAGTAGGGTACGTGGGATATCGTTAAACCAACTAGTTAATATTATTGTGGATAGACATATAATGTCATGTAAGAAACTAGCGAATACCATAATGTCAGACCCCAAGTATCCTCTCTATACGCAGCTCTCTCCTTGCATTTCATCTGGTAGAACTAGAAGCAACTATAGGAAGCTATATGCCAGGACTACCAAGTAGAAAAACTCCACAATACCTTATCTGGCACAGCTGTTATGTGATGAGAAAACTGTTAGGCATGACACGATCAACTTACTGCGGCACTCTAACAAATAGTTCCCATTAGCTTTTGTTCTCTTTTCTTTGTTACTATTATATTGTTGCTCACATATTCTATTACACACTAATTTTATATTTCATATCCAGTGGTGCCTTGTTTAAAATGTGAATGCAATGCCGTTCTTTTTTATTTCTTTTATTTCTCTTTTTTTTCTTTTTGCTGTTGTTGCTTTTTATTTTTAAAATCTTATAAAATTTATGAGGTAATTAGATGCAATATTGTAATGCACGCTGAAAATTCCATACCTGTGCCACAAATACTGTTTGGAATAAAGCTATTATTATTATTGCAGTTGTATCATTCATATTCCATATGTTAGGTGTAGATTCCGTGAGCAAGGATTTAGTGACTAGAGTTTCTCTCCACCTATTTATATTATTACGTTTTAGAACTACAGCTGTGTCTCACCCTACATGCCTTTACAATTAACAGATGAGATGAAATAAAGTCTGGTTTGTTAAATGTCAAAGAAACTGGGCAATAACTCTAAGTAGGACGTCATAAAACCTAAATAATGAAATGAAACGGGTAGACGAAGTGTTGGCGCCAAACAACTATCCCATAAAATTCATTAAGAAGATCACAAAAGCACACAAGAAAAGGAAAAAAGGCAGTAACGGAACCATTGACCATAACGTAAATAAGAAAGAACTCAAGTAATCTACAGTTTTACCATATAAGGGAGGGACATTTGAAACCCTACAGGGGATTCTTAATAGAGCAGGAACTAAGGTTGCATTTGAACCTACAAACCCGCCTAGGAATAAGTGCAGTGGGCTATTGGCCCAATTAGAAAAAATAATATAATTTACAGAATACGTTGAAATGACTGTGAAGTCAAGTACATAGGTCGGGTCAGTAGGCCATGGGTATTCAGATTATCGGAACATAAGAATTTCATGTATAATCCCCGTCCAAGCATTAATGAAAACAAAACACGTAGTTCAGTGAAGAGTCTCTTTTCGGCGAATTCATTTTCTTAGCTGTACAATCGCAAATATATATGTGTTATTTTGTCTGTATGTGTACGTTAAGAGTTTGTCAAACAAAAATACAATTGGTTAGGGTTATTTTAACTGAACAGGTGAAGACTGGTAATTGGAATTACGTAATACAAAATCAGTCGAGAAAATTAGGTGTTATTGAAATTAGGGTAGTGACAAAGGTGATGAGTTGTCACAAACAGTTGTTAAAAGAAGTTATGTAATAATATGAATAGTTTGATGAGTGAGTTTTACTCAGGATACACATAGGAACAAAGTAGAGAATACGAAATTACGTAAGAGTTCTAAATGAATACAAGAATTATAAGCAATTAAAGAACAGACAAAGAAACAAAATTAAGTCATCCAAAAAATCAAATCAGATCAAAAACGTTGTTACCAAGACAGTAGAAGTCGTTGAGTAATCCTCTTTTGTATGCACAGCTCCGGTTTTTCTATGTGAATAGCCAGAGCTTCAGCGATAGAAAGAAGGCGAAACCGTATTGTCTTTGATAGGTCATTCTTGACTCTGTGGATTACTTTGAAACAGGAGGCGTTTGTTGAAATGAAATGATCAGTGTTAACCAGGTGTTCAGTTATCGGACTCCTTATTGCACCACTATCGCCTTTTCGCAACCATGCTGGATAGTGTTCTTGAATCCTCTTGGACAGGGTGCGCGTTGAACGACCGATGTACCTGGCTCCATAGCAGCAGGTGAACTGATATATGCACATAGAAGTGGTCAGATGCGGGATCTTGTCCTTGAGGCTTCTGTAGA